AAAATATGTGGTTCTCTACGATCCCTTTTGAGGAAATCTTTATGGATTTTGGAGAAAAGTTGATAACTTCTTTGAAGGATATGTTTTCTTAACTTTTGGTGTAGTGATGCCAAACTTTCATGACAATATAATGTGTCTAGATCTTTTTTCCTTTTTTTTGTTTTTAAAATAAAAAAGAGATCTTCCTATTTGAACCCTTGATTTGCACAAAATTAACCAACAAATACATGTTCCAATTTTTAAAAATGCCTGCAAGATTATGATTTTTCGGGTTCTTTTGGAAGTGTGTAAAAGTTTCCAATAGGAATTTAATGTAAAAGGCCATTGAAAAGGTTGGAAAGGGAAGTCTTTGTACACAAATCTTTTTTCTTGCAATTTTCACAAAGACTGTCCCTGTTCCTGTTAATCATACTCACCTTTCTACCACAAATGAAAAAAGAGAGATGTTATTTATGCATATCATGTAAGGTCAAACATCTTGCATGAACACATCAATTTATCATAAAGGAACATTTAAGAGTTTGGATATATATCACAAAGTTTCATCACATTTATAATAATTCAGGCCTGAAGATAACCATGCAGTTTTGAATGCTCTCAGTTTTTGGTTTTGTTGCGTTCCTATCTTGCATAACAACTTGTTCTGCAAAAATGCATATTGTTTGCATAACACCTTTTCTTTTCCTTGGTTTATCAAAAAACATATTGTTTATGAAATGATTTTTTTTTTGGAGTTGTTATCTACTATGTTCGTGGAGAGTACCCTGAGAGCGTATTTATGACTACAGATGTTTGAAAACCAAATTGCATGGGTAGAGTAAGCAGTAGGAACACTTGCTGGATTCATTTTAACTTATATGGCATTTTGTTTGACTAAAAACATGCTCTATGGTAGGAGTTGCTTGTGTATTTTGTGTTGGATTCATTCCCTGGTTCATCATATTGTTCGTTACCTACCCATACCAACCCTCCCTTTATACCATCTTCGAGTTCAGGCATAAAGAATGGATCAAGACAAAGGATCAGAACTAGGATAAATTGGTTCATTATCATATAGACTTTATCATTAAACCAGACCAAACCAAACAAACCCAATATGTCAAACCCGAGGCCGAGGGTGGGGTCTAATAGGGGTAAAGATGTATACATATCTGATCTCTACCCAAAGAGAATAACAACATATAGACTCAATTATCATTAATTTTAATCTCCAAATTAGTTATTATTATTTATTGGGTAATGGAAGTTTGTCTTTTTCTTTAATTTTGCTATTTTTTAGTGGCAGAAAACAAAAAATGTAATTGCAGATTGAATATTGAATGACAGATTTAACTAGAGTTTCAGTAACGAAGTAGTAAATAATATTTCTAAAAAGCAACACAGATAATCAGCAGGAAGGTAATGGATAATATGGTTTTCTAGGTCTTTTGATGTGCAACTAGCCAATTATGTGTAGTCTGCCACTCCAAAGAAGAATATCATATTTATGAAGTGATAAAATAATACGACTAAAAGATAGGTACTTTTCAGATTCCTATTATATTCAGTAGGGCAATCGATTTTTACTTACAGCCCGACATGCATAGATGCATACAAAGAACATGTTTGAACAGCCTATAAATATGGGTTTTTTGCTATACATATGGATATGTATGCTCATATGTACATTAACCAGCACATGAATTCATATATCTACTGCAATTCTTTTATCATTATTTTTTTTGGAGCAAAATTAAAAAAAGTGATCGCTATACATTCATGATTTTTTTCACTAGCTTAACAAAAATATTTTATTGTTGCATGCTTAGATTTTCACAACCGTATCAATAACAATGGTTCCGTATAATTGCATTCAGATTAAGAAACTAAATTAAAAGATGAGGGAAATTATTTTTAGACGATAAATTGAAGGGAAGTCATAACTTCTGAACTAAAGCATGGACCACCAACTACTTGGTACTTTAGATTTGTGAGATCTCACCTCAATTGATTAGGAAAGATTTAATTGAAATGATTGTGCAAATTTAAGTATAACCAAACACATCCGGTATATCCCACACTATGTAGATCTTTGGTGGAGCAGGGGGGTGGGGGGAATGTATGCAGAGCTTGCGTCTATCCCAAAGGGTAGAGAAGTTGTTCCTGGAAAGACCCAGGTTTGCAAAACAAAGATCCTTTTTGGGGGGGGGGGGGGAGATTGTAGGTGGACCTTGCTTCTACCAAAGGGTAGAGACACTGTTTTCTTGAAGACCCCTGGCTTGCAAAAACAAATATACAAAGAGATGAGTGAGAAAAGTAATATATAATAAGAGAAGTAACATAAAAACATAAGTGTGTGAGCAAAAACGCAACAACAAAAAAGGAAGCAGGAACACACGAGAGACATAGGATAAAACAAACAGGATGAAAAACAAAGACTAATATACAGCAAGAGCAGGAAAAACTAAGACTCGCATAAATGAGACATGGACAGTAGGAAAGACTGAAACAACTTACAAAAATAAATAGGAACATAGCTCCAATAAAAGGAACCCAAGGCCCATATTCTTCTCCAATTTGAGTTTTACTCACATCTCGAAGGCAAACCCATGGAAATACCCCTTTATGAAAGAAAAAAGACACTACGTAACTCTATTGCGCTATCTATACAAGTATGTGATTGATAAAGGCTTTTCTTGCGGTATAAAAGTGGGAAGACCATAAAAGTCGATGATCTATTATATCTATTTTTCCCTCTATGTGGTCATCATTTCCTAAATCCCAACTGGTCTTGATTTAGTTTATTTTTGAAGTAGGTCTTCATTTAGTGTGATTTATTGTTGTTTCTGGTTGCAGCCTTGCTTTTTAGATATAAAGTTGTGTGATGATCCATGATGTAGCAGAGTTTGTTTTTCACTTTTTGAGGATCAATGATGGTATGTTTCTGGATGCCTACTCTAATTTCTTGAAGAAATCCCAAATTCAATAGAATTTTCTTATAAATATACTTGTGAACAGATGATATTACCTTTGCCTCTTAAAGGTGAAAATTGGTGGTAATATTCTTATTCACTCTCTTTCTTCTTTTCTAAATTATTACCATGCTTATGGACTAAACACCGCCAAATGATTCAGTAGCCATGCTTCTATCGCTCTCTATGTTGTGGGAAAATTGAATTAGAAAACTGTGGCAAGAAAAAGAAGTCATGTTAGGTGGAGAGAGAGTGTGTGAAATGATGGTATGGAGCGATTGTGTCTTTAATAGGCTAGTTGTGTCCTTTGAAAGATGTCCAAGTTCTCTGTTTTAACTTGAGGTACTAATTATATTGGTCAATTATTAACAGAAAATTTGGACTTATGCATTCTCATATACAGATATGCATACAAATTGCGTATGTACACATGTATTCACACACTTGCACACATGTATTTACAGATATAGAAATGTCACAATGACACTGGAGGTTTCCTGTCAGTTTCCATTGCCTTCTGCTGACGTTTTAGAGAATGGTCCCATTATACAAGATACTCAGTTTCGAATTTTGATGGAAAAAATTTAGCACATTCCAAATACAAAATTTGTATAAATTTGTTACTGATTCTTAAATAAATTTGTTACTAATCCTGGAGTTCCGTCGAAATTGCAATGTTTAACTTGGACATAGACACGTAGATTGAGAGAAATCTTTGACTATTAACCAAATGTCTAAAATAAATAAAGAGAAAATAAGATATTCCTGATACAAATTAATATCGTCAATCTCTGTCATGATGAATATGGACAAGTAACTTTAGTTGAAAAAACTTCAAGAAAGCAAGGGATTGTTGCAGTTTTTATTGGACATCTTAAAAAGAAAATTGTTGCCCTTCTCATGAAGTAAACCAAACACACCCAGTATGTCCTATTTGGAAGTAGGATTTAGGCGTGGGATGTAAACAAACATGTCCTATGATGAATTGAATTGTTTGATCATCCCCTTTGTTTTTACAGGATACAATATCTTGAAATGAAAATTGATTTTGCTTTGAGTTTGAACCAAATAGAGTGGCTATAGAAGTCAACTATGTGCATCGGTAGTAATACATAGATACGGTCCATAGTGCCGGTTAGTTTGACTTATATTTAGCAGCATCTTTTTAGTATTATATTTACTATTTTAGGTGAAGTAGTTTCTCTTTGATGTTGTTACAAAGCTGAAAAAAGCAATTTGTTATGATCTTATACCACACAGCGACTTGCATCTTTAAAAGATGGCGATGGCATCAGACTTGTGTGTTTTTAAGCATCTTGGGTGACTCTACGGCTGTTTGCTGATATGAGTAAAACGTTTCCCATCATCAATTTTTCTTGGACAAATTTGCTGATATAAGTGAGGAAATCTTTTGGTATGGTGCCAAACTCAGCAAGTATATTATATTAGGCAAAACTGGTTACAATAAAATCAAGACAACTTTTCTATTAGATTATTGTTCTTTTATTCAGTTTTTGTCATAGTTTTTTCTTCTTTTTTATAGTTTGCTGTTTCTTCTCTGTTGGCAATAATATTGGAAGAGATTGATTAAAATAATTTCTGAATGATTGAAAGTCTAAATAGTTTCTTGCTCATTATATGTCAAGTGGGAAATTATACGAATCATACACCCATGTATCATTAGAGCATGGTAACACAAGAAATACAACGTACATACATACATATGCATATACATATAAACATATGTACATACATATCTATGTCTGCAGTCTTCTAGCACAGGATGGCGATTCCTATGCTGGAAACTTTATCCGGCATGCGTTTTCACTTTCGACGTTCCCACATGTCGAGTATGTTATATATGGAGGGATTCCTTGTATGTGTATATGTGTGCGTGTCAATAATTGTAAATACAATTGGAAAAAAGGGCAATGTTAGTTTGATTGAAGGGGAAGATGCAAGAACTTAGTTGTTTGCCAAAATAGGAAAAAATCCAAAATTTATTAGTTTTAAATTGGAGAATATAATATAATAAACAAAAAAGGGTAGACTGCTAGCCAGCTATTTATATCATTCATGAGACCCTGCGGATCTGTGTATGCCTTGCTTTTGCTTTCATAAAAGGGAAACTGAAGTTCATTCAATCAAACCCCTTTTCTTTGCATTGCACCACTTCCCATTTTCTCAAGGATTCTTCCTAGAAACAGGTGACATAGATAGATAGGTAGATGAGGGGTAGATTATCTTCAAAACTATCAATGGAAACAGATAAAGTTGATGAGGCTAAACAAGATCCCCGCCTCTCTGGTGCTTATATCCGTACCCTTGTGAAACACTTAACGGCCAAAGATCCGTTAGATGGTGATGGTGGAATTACCAAAAATCTAAATGAAAATGAGGAACATCAAAAGCGACCAACACAACCACCTCAACACAAGAAACAAGTTAGGAGACGACTTCACACCAATAGGCCTTATCAAGAAAGGCTTCTGAATATGGCTGAGGCGAGGAGAGAGATTGTCACTGCTCTTAAGTTTCATAGAGCTTCCATGAAACAACAACAACAAGAAGAAGCAGCCAACAATCTTGACCTTCAATCGGAGCAATCTCCATCTTTAGGACAAGAAAAGAAGACAAAGTCCAGGAGAATTCTTGGCCTTTATCCTTCCACCACCGCCACCGCCACCAATTCGTATTCGAGTTTATCTTCTCCTCCCCCAGTTCCTTGCTATTGGCCTATTTCAACAATTGTCCCACCTCCACCACCATCTTATCATGACAATCTTAATTTTGTTCTCCCTAGTCAAACCTTGGGGTTGAATCTTAATTTTCAGAATTTTAGCAACTTAGATACCCATCTTTATCACAAACCAATGTCAATGTACTCCTCATCACCTGTTTCCTCCACCCCATCAACTTCCTCTTCGGCACCTGTCTCTGCTGCCGCCGAGGAACTGGTGGTGGGAAAACCGAAGGAGACTGTGTCCAATTCTTCAGGTGGAGGTGGGCTACATCATCATGCCATGGATGATGAGGAGATGGAGGAGATTAGATCATTAGGAGAGCAGCACCAGATGGAATGGAATGATACCATCAATTTGGTGACATCAGCTCGGTGGAGCAATTTCTTGAAAACCATGGAAATTGAAGCAGAGGAAGGGGATGAGTACGATGGATTTGATCAAGTGATGGAATTCCCAGATTGGCTGATGAATGCAAATGAGAGCTCTTGTCTAGAACAACAGTTTGATGATCATTTCTCTGATGCATACTTGCAAGATCCTGCTTTGCCTTGGTAAGATGGTTCTCAAGTTATTTTTCTGATTCTTTCATTCCATATATAATATTTTCAAAAAATAAACTATTAAATTTGCAAGTTTTAGGAAATGGGAAATGTTTTATGTTCCTAGATATCTGCTCCGTACAACAGTAATGTTAGTCCTTTTTATGGCCAGAAGGTCATGTGGTTGTGTCAAGAAACAACCCTTTTTTGGCACGACAAATCTTTCCTTCAAATCTCACAAAGCCAAGGAGCTTTGGTGCACAAAAGTGGGTTCTGATAGTTTTAAAATTGTGGTTGCTGCTGTTACTGTTGTTTTAGCAAAGACTATAGCCATCTCTGAATAGTTGCAGTGTGAGACTTTAAAACCATGGCAGTGAGACCACACAGCCAGGTCCCCCACCTCCATGTCTCTAAATGTCTTTTTTTCTTTTCACACAGGCCTTTAAGAATTATTCCTGGATAAGAAAAATTGCAACAATTTTCATATTAATCCGGGCTACAAATTCTACCATGAGTAAATGGTATTTTTAAATTTTGACCAATAATCAAGTGCTCATGTGACCAATAAATGCATATATGCACATACATCCATATACATATATAGTTATGAGTCTAAGAGAGAACACTAAAAAAAACAAGGAAACCCTTCCAAAGCATTCATCTATTTTAATCCAACGGTTGTAAATGATAGTTACGGTTATATTTTGCCAAACCCAAATCCAAGATTTTACAAATCCAAACTATCTACTCTTAGGATTCTCTCCTGAACCTCTTACACATACACATACATATATACGGAGGTTGAAACAAGAACAAAGTTCAAATAAGAAAACACAATAACACCTATTTCACATGTGATATGAGTGTTTTACATATTTTCTTATTTTGACTTTGTTCTCGTTTGAATCCAGTTACATGAATTTGTGTATGATGAAATGTTATAAATTTGATGATATTGAGTGACTAATACTTGTATGTTGCTTATTTTGTTCCTTCATAGGTTTATCTTTTTGTTGGAATATGATTATTTTTTAGAAAGTAATAATTGTGGTTAATTCTGATATTGAATTTGAAAACTGCAGCATGGACATAGGTGAAATTGAAGGAATGGATGGGGAGTGGCTAGCCTGAGAAACAAAATTGATTGTTTTTTGAGAAATCAATTTGTGGCTGCATTTCTTTTTGCAATTTTGGTTTTTTTTTTTTTTGTTTAAATATTTTGTGCTACTCTTATTTTTGTATGTAACAATGCTTGCAAGTAATATGCCATATGAGAAGAAGAAATAAAGCAAAAACTATAGGGAGGTATGAATTCAATGCTTACTTACCCTTTTCAAAGATTCCTCTATGTTTGGAAAAAGGTCCGGAATGTTGTTATCGTACGGGTTCCACGATCGTTATAGAGGAGGTTAAACTGAAGAAATTTGATCTCTTTTTATGCATGCTAAGGCGACTTTGATGTTTAGAATAGGAAGATGCTATCGACTTTGTAATCATAGATTGAAAAATCTGTGAGCAATTTCCGATGACACCACCAACTGCCCATCCTACCTCTTCGAGGTTCTTAGACAGCCCGTTTGTCTCAGTAGAGTTTTTCAGTGGCATGTTTCAGTCCTCTTCCCCATTACCTAGAAAAGTGAGCCACCGGTTCAAGATCTTTATCATACTTCTTTGTCTTCCAAAGAAAGAAAATTGGATCATTAAAAAAACCCACCAACCGCCTTTCAATTCTCCGTTTATGATAGAAACCATATCAAACCCAAATAAAAGATAAAACAAAACCAAATGAGCGGATGTATTTTAAGTGTATGTGTGTGTGAGATAATCGTAGGTGGTTTTATGTTTTTATTCATCGGAGATGCAGATTTTTGGTCATTTTCAATTAACAATATTAAATTTGTACGTATGTGTTTTACTTATGTCTATATGCTTTAAATGTGTGTTTATTGGAGGTGAGTTTTGTGTGTGTGCGCCCATGCACCCTTTACATGTGTTTTTTATGTTTTAAATGTGTTTATTGGAGGTAGTTTTTATGTGTATTTGTGTTTTTACCGTGTGTTCATTAGAAGTGGGTTTTGCGTGTATGTTTTTTGTGTGTGTTCATTGGAGGTGGGTTTTGTGTGTGTATGTTTAGTAGAGGTAGGTTTTGTGTTTTTATATGTTATATGATGCCTCCATGTTTTACATAGCTAATCACACATAAAAACTACCTTCAATATGGTGGCAAGCACAAACCTTAAGTCTTGCACGCCATATCAAGGACGCGGTATTTTCAAGGCGTGACATAAGATGAAAATTTTATATATGTCATATATGTTTTCTATTTGTTATTCGATAATATAATTATACTAAAAAATTTACGTTCATATTTGAAGAAGAAAAATCATATTTATTAACTAGTATTAAATAAAAAGTTTGTAATCAATTATTGAAAATAGAACTTGGAAGGGTTTTCAAACTTTCTTTTATAAATCCACGAAACTATGAGTGATGTGATTATGTAAGTTTGTAGAAATATGAAATCTAAAGTTAAAAGTGGAAAAGCACAAAAGTCAGCAAAAATTAAGAAAATTAAATTGAAAAAGAAATAAAAATAAGTAAAAAATATTTTTTTTGGAAAAATTCACGCCATGCAGAAAACACGTACAATAGTGAGCCAGACCTTACACAAATGCTACATGCCCTTATCGTAACGACGGAGACATGTCTTATGCCATAGCGTACCTTGTTGAACACGAATACATATATACATATACATATACATATACATATATATACATATACATATATATATATATATACACACACACACACACACATACACACACACACATACACATACACACACACACACACATATATATATATATAGGTTATTTTGAGGAGTGATAAATATTTGAGAAGTAAAGAAGTGATCATAGCCTTTCATATGGTCAAAGATCGGATTTAACTGGTTAAGAATTACGGTATTGAGTGGTTAGAATTTGCGATTATGCAAAAAATAAAGGGGGTAGTTGTAACGCCCCAAATACCACATTTGCATAGAACACATATTCATTACATAGAAACATGGATTACATCAAAAGGTCTCACTAGTACAAGGATTACTATATGTACAAAATTGACATATAAAAATTTCCAAAACAAATCATGTACTACTGCATGTAATATAACATGCATCTTTAAAAGCAGACAATAGATTTAGGAAAATAATCACATTTTCCCTTTTACATCACCGGACCCAGCTATTCCTGCATTGCATAATTTAAAACAGAAAATGAGGGTTAGACCATATGGGTCTAGTGAGGTTCCCTTCTATGAAATGCAGGGTGAAGATCACCAAAACATTTATTTCAAATCATTCATCGCATGAAGCAAAACTGAAAACATACAGCTTCGGTCCATCGGGCCTCTGGTTTCAAACAACACTTAGAAATATTTCGACAACCAGGACCAGAGCCCCTCTGGTCTCTCTTCCAGAGCTTCTGCTCTTCANCTTCACGACCAGAGCCGCTGGTTTCACTAACCAGACTTGAAATATAATTCAACATTCAGGACCAGAGCCCCTCTGGTCTCTCTTCCAGAGCTTCTTGTCTTCATGACCAGAGCCTCTGGTTTCAAATCATACTTAAAATATATTTCAACACAGGACCAAAGCCCCTCTGGTCTCTCTACCAGAGCTTCTGGTCTTCATGACCAGAGCCTCTGGTTGTACTAACCAGCACCTCTGACTCATATACATGATCTTTAGATAAACCTTCAACCAATAAGATAGCCTTTTTCATAAAACGAGCAATTATAAGAAGTTCATGTTCGACCAGAGCCTCTGGTTGTACTAACCAGAGCTTCTGGTTCCAAAGACATGACCAACCAGAGCCCCTCTGGTTCAACGCTTAACCAGAGCTTCTCTGGTATGTTTTTCATAAAAAGACTAAGTATAAAACTTCTTTTCTTAAAACTTCAAAAGCATGATTTTGACATAGAAGCTCTTATCAAAAGATACAAAACCTTTAATCCAAATAAAACCTTTAGTAAAAACTTGCTCATCCTTTAAATCAACAACCAGAATCCTCTGGTCCAATGATGAGGACCAACCACAACCCCTCTGGTTCCTTACAAGGAACAACCAGAGCCCCTCTGATTCCTCATGAAAATAACCATTCTGTTTCAAAACACTTTTAACCAATACCAATGGCCATAAGCCAAGTTTTCCCTTTCTCAATAACATCAATATCATTATTTCTAATAAGAACAATATTTTTGAGTTCTCAAATCACAAAGAAGTAAGGACTCAAATCTCTTGTAGTCTTAAAAGACATAATAGCAAGAGCTATAATATTCACATACAAWTKTCACCCTTATATCCAAAGGTACACCTCTCCTTGATATGCCACC